TTTGACAATAACACAGGAGCGAACATGGCAGATTTGCTCAATGATGTGATGCACGAATGGGGAATAAAGGACAAAGATCCAGTGCTAGTGACTGATAATGCATCTAATATGTCAGTAGCTGCAGAAATAGCCAAATTAGTTCACGTGAGATGCTTTGCGCACTGTTTGAACCTGGCTGCTCAATGGGCTCTGAAGTTACCGACAGTTTCCCATCTTCTCGGAAGAGTTCGGAGCATCACAACATTTTTTAGGAAAAGTACAATCACCTGCCATGTCCTGCACGAGAAGCAAAAGTTACTTGGCCTTCCTGAGCATAAGCTGATGACCGATGTCTGCACGAGGTGGAACAGCGCACATGACATGTTGGAGCGATTCGTAGAACAACAGCCTGCAATTTGGGCCGCATTACTCTCAGCTGAGGAGCAGAAAAATGCCAAAGATCTGTGGACATTAACAGAAGCAGACATAGCCTGTGCTGAAGATGTAATAAATGCACTGAAGCCACTTAAATTGGCAAGGCACGTTATGTCCGATGAGAAAGCACCAACGGTTTCAATCATCGCACCTTTGCATGCAGTTAAGTCGCGGCACTCGGATTGAAAACACTGACTCGGCAGTGACGCGGGACATAAAGATCGCTGTGGCTGGAGATCTGGAGAAAAGATATGAGCGTGAAATGCCCTTTCTGAACATGACCTCAGCGCTGGATCCACGCTTTAAAGCACTGCCCTTTTTGGAGGAGGAGAACAGACAGCATGTCTACACCAAAATGGCAATGGAGGCATCACAGACTTCACTTGCAAGGGTAACTTAGACTGTCAGAAAACTAGTTAATGTTCATTATATCAGCTAGTTATATTATAATGCTAGTTATTGTCTTATTACTTGGTTTTATAGGTTCTTTTACACTGCATATATGTTTTTATCTATCTACACTGTAAAAATATTTTGTTGAAGATCAACTGAAAATATTTCGTTTTTATTAAGTTTTTATTAATGTGGGCTACATGAGATCTGTAAAAGTTATTAATTACAATGTCATGTTATGATTATTTCAGAACCAGAATAAAGAACAGAACAGAAAGCATGCTGAGACAGATCTGTCCCCACCCTGCAAGAGAAAGTGGACGCATGTGCTCTTGAGGACTTATTTGGAGATGCATTTTCCCCTCCCAAAACAAAACATCCACCTGTGTCATCATACAATCAGGCAGAGGATGAAGTCAGGAAATACAGAGATACAGAGGTATTACCTCTTACAGGAGATCCACTCATCTGGTGGAAATAGCACCAGTCTGATTTCCCATTACTATCAAACTTGGCAAGCTGTACCCTCTGTATCCCTGGTACAAGTGTAGCAGCAGAGAGGGTGTTCTCCACTGCTGGAGATATCATTACAGCAAAGAGGAGGGCTCTTAAGCCTGAGCATGTTGATCAGTTGTTGTTTCTGCATAAAAATATGAAGTTGTAATTGTGTAAAGTGATGTGTTTGTTGCACATTCCACCACTTGAGACCAAAATGTTACGGTGTTTAAAAATGTGAAGTGTTTGAGAAAGTTAAGTTTGTTACAGTTTTTTGCTTTTATGGAATATGTTTCAAGTTTTGTTCAGCCATTGAGCCTTGTTGACATGTTTCAGCACTTGACATTATACTTATTTAAGTTATCGAGTCAGAGACTTAAAAAGCAGAAGGAAGATCTATTCTATAAGTTTTTTTTTTGTAAAAATGATTTATTATATTTCACTTATATTGTTGTTTGTTAATGACAAAGCAAAATTGTTTTTCAGTTATCACAACTGTTATAACACTGGCTATTCAATGTACAATAAACAGATATTACCTTTACGAAATTCTGCTCAAAATAAATGTAATTCCAAAATTGACCCGTACAGTGATACGTATCGTATCGTGGCTTTAGTATCGTGATACGTACCGTATGGTGACATTGTTGGTGATACACAGCCCTAATGTCATTCATATTAGATAAAATAAGATACATATTCTTTTTTATATTGACCCAAAAAATAGGTCACATGGGTCTATTATGAAAGGGCCTAGGGGTGGGCGATATGACCAAAATCTTGTAATTTTATATCACGATAACGATATGTATCATGGTGTAGATATTTTTTCTTTTAATAAGGTTTTTATGATAATGTCAATATCAAACTAATACAAGAAAATAATAATGATAATAAAAAACAAGTTTGATTAACATGAATGGCAGACAGGACGAATATTGGACAGCTTCTCCTTTAGGACCAAAGTCCGGATCCAATACACTGTTACACATGCGCTTATTCTCGCAACGGTTTACGTTCCCTTAAGACCTAAATGACTGTGTTTATGAGAATACTTGCAAAGCCCGGCATTTGGACGCATATAAGTGTTTATGCAATCGCTCAAAGCCAATAAAGCGGCAAAAATGCTCACGAGCTCTATTAGCAGCTGATGCGCGGCTTACGCATTCCTCTTACACAGAAACAGAGACAGCGCGCACATATAGCTCTGTTTGTGTTTCAACGGCCTAAAATCAGTCATTTAAACTGCAGTGCTTAAAAACGCGTGCAAACATTAAGATTTCGTGACCACGCAATGTGACGTGAGCGCGCATGCTGCTATTCACATTAGGGATGGGCGATACCCCTTCTTTTGTTTTCGATAAGATACCGATATTTTTCAAGGCAGCATCACGGCTTGTGTACTGCATCATTACTGTGTCTGTTCCCCTTTCGGGCTTGAACTGATGGTAAAACTAATTACATTATTTACGGTCTTTACATTTATTTTGAAAGCTGAAGCTCGCGATTATGGGGCGTTACATTTCCGACGAGTGCTTGCAGTGTTCGGCCAATCACAATGCACTGGGTCAGCTGGCCAATCAGAGCAGACTGCGCTTGTCGGAAGGAGGGACTTTGTAGAAAACTAAGCGTTTGAGAGAGGCGGGGCATAGAGGACCTACAATAATGTACAGTATTTGAAAAATAATGTGTTTTTTGAACATTAAAGCATGTCAACATATTCTGTTACACCAAATACACAAAATAATGATCTTTAAAAAAGCATCATATGACCCCTTTAAACTGCAGTGCTTAAACACGCATGCAAACATGAAGTTTTCGTTACCACGCGCACAGCAACGTGACGTGAGCGCGCATGCTGTTATTCACGTTTCTGCCTGCATCCCCGTGTAATGCATGCAAGACTGCCGTCATTCAAATGATGAAAAAGTATTGCCGTAAACAATGTATTTTGCGGCACCACGAAATAAACGATAAGAGCATAATATGAAACGATAGACTTTTAATTTCATCCATTCGATATATATCGTCATATCGCCCAGCCCTAAAAGGGCCACAAACAAAAATAAATAAATTGGTATAATCGTTTAAAATGGATGAGATAGATATGTTTTCTACATCAAACTCAACAGTCTTTTGGCACAAATGTATCTGTCAGTTGATTCTAGTCAAATTAGGTGGACACTAACTTGGACAGGTTGTGTGACTTGCCCTCATCTTCAACAATTAACAAATTGGTAAAAGAAAGGTACAAGAAAATTCGACCCATACTTTGTTCTGACCACAATTTTTTTTTTTGTGCAATTAAATATTGAAACCTTTTTCAACTTTAGCAATTTTTCCATTCAGCCAGTCATGTTGAAGTTGCAAGCAGATCTTTTCTTCTTTATTGTGACATCCAAGTGTAACAGATTATTGAAGAAAAAAAAAATGTAGTGCAGGGACTTGGTTCTATCCATTAGTTGTTGATTGGATTATGAGATGTGGGCGTTTTTCTTTAAATAGAAATTCATGTGAGATTGCAGAGCACATGAATGGAGAAGTCCATCTGACATTTTCCCCAGAAGATTGGGGTATGACATTTTGATTACAAATGTTAAATTAACAACATGGACAAATCACTTACCACGCATTTACAAAATACAGGGCGAAATTTAATTTCATCCTGACTTAAGTAATTTTGCATATTGTTACATCCACACAGTTTACGGCGATATTATTAAATCAATACGTTGAATTGTAAAGATTGTAAAATCTCCTGTTCATGAAAAAAAAACAGATGAGAACCACAGATTAATAATAATAATACAAATACTTTTGTCAGTAAAAATAGATTTGAATGAAAATTTATTTGAGTACGAGTAGTTATACTCTGGACTGTAACTATGAATAAAAAGCATTTGCTAAATGACAACATGCGATTAACTTTCTCACTAAATATAGCTCTAAACATAACATTTAACATATTCCACTACATAGGCTATAAATGAGGGGAGAAAAATGAAAATCTGCAGACACTCATTTGTAAACTAGTAGAATTCATACAAAACTACCTTTTCCCTATAAAAACAGCAAACTTGTAGTGATTAGTTCAAGCTTCCTGGCGGGTGAAAAGACCACTTAATGGACGCTATATGAATAGTGGGGTTAAATTATCGTGTTACTCTTGACCTGCAGTATGTCAACACATCCTGGCATGCATCACAACACTGCTTCACATACCCGCCCTCTTCTTAGATGACATATATTGAATTGTATGCCAATTTATGAACACTAAAAACAAATCTAGAGCATGTCAAGTGTAGTTTCAATGTGCACTACCACGTTTTCAAGTCAGGTTGCACTCGCTCCATCACAGCAAGCTAGTTAGTCCTCAAATAGCAGCTAGCTACATCTAAGCGAAAGATACACTACCTAAAGCATAAAACAAAAGTATTTTCTGTTATAAACGCTAGTCCCCGGCTTTTTTGGGTGACTGTGAGACACTTATGTCGGCCTGATCCAGCGCGAGGCCAGAACTCTGCTGCAGATGTGTCGCGCGCGCTAACTCCACGACAAACTCCCAGCAAACTGCAGCTCGACGACAACACGAGCGCACCAACACGCGCTTTCAAGTCGCTCGTTCCTAAAGACATGAAAGCACGTGTTCATGGTCGCGAACAGAAACAGACGACTGTCTGAGGTGGATGCGTGCTTACCTCCTCTTCTTCTTCTCCTCCTCGCTTTCTCCAGTTCACTCCCATACATACATACACGCGCAGGCACGCCAGCAAACAGATCCTCTGAACCGCGGAAGTGTCGGCGTTTATCGCTTCCACATTAAACACCGCCGGCCTTAATGACGGTCAAGTCAGATTTCTTTCTCTTTTAAGAGGCTTGACAGTGAAATCCAGAGTGTGGCATGACTGCAGGGGCGGAGGTTGGTGGGACAGTAATTTTTCGACCTCTCTCTCTCTCTCTCTCTCTCTCTCTCTCTCTCTCACACGCTCGCTCTCGCGCGCTGGGCAGGGATGACGTAATGGCGCACTCGTCAGGTCAAGTTGTAACTTTTTGATGCAGCCTGAAAAGTTGCAGGAAGCGCAGATGGATTAAAGTGCCCAGTGTCCAGTCAAATTGAGATTGTGTCTCTAAGACAAATAAAACATAAACATTCTCCTGACTTGGCCATGCATGCGCAGTGCACAGTCAGGCCTCAGCTTGTGTTGTAAGATAGTTTTGATGTTAAACAGAGCAGTGTATTACCGCATAAACACATTTCATTACACCAAATACACAAAATAATGTTCTTTTTAGCAGCATCATATGACCCCTTTAAAATATAAACTTTTTGATATTGCTTTAATTTGAATGAGTTTCTTCTCTTTATTCATTGGCAATAATGTAGCTTTGAGCAGGGTCTATTTCACTGAGTGTTGGAGTACATTTGTTTGCATGAGTCCGCTCTATCCCTGGTTCTGAGTAAAACATCTCTGTAAAAACAACAAAAGCCTAAGCAGAGCTCTTTCCATTTGAAAAAAGAGAATAAAATATTGCTGGAAAACATTGTGTAATAGCTTTCATGGTGCATTCCATTAATACCGTACACTTTGTGAGACTTCTGAACAGTTTCATAACATAGGGATTTTGCCCTGATTTTGCTAAATCTTATGAATTTTGTCCTGATTTTAACCCAATCTTGACGTTCTTGACTGCATCTAGCATTTAAAACAAAACACTTCTTAAACATGTTGTAATGCTGTAAATAAAACAGATTATTGGAGTATTTTTTTTTAAGTTTTTCTATTTCAAATTTTCATGTTTAATTAAGTACTTGTTGTTTCTTTTTATCCCTCTATCTCACTGGTCTTATAGGGTTTACATAACAAAAATAAATAAATAAAATAAATAAATTAAAAATTAAACTGATAGCAAGACCGAATCAGTTGTCTTTCTTTATCTCTTTCTTTCTTTTTATTTTCATCGGGGATTGTAGAAAAATGGCAGTGCTCTATAGTTATTAGCTGAATCTCTAACACAAAGGACCATTTTAGCATAATGATATGGTTCTTAGAACTGTTACTGTGTGTAAAGAACCTTTAAAGGACCATCGTTGTTTGGAGTGATATCTTGTTTAATTTGTACTTTTTGATATTTTGACTATTTTGATTTTGATGTGTTTTTTTCTCAGAAAATTGTGTATACAGGGTTTCAAAAATTGTAAAACCTATAGAAAATAAAACATAAAATGTATAAGGTATAAAATAAAATAAAATATGATATGATATAAACTTAATTTCACCTTTTGAGGTTGACAGTCATTATTTTCTGAAGGTCCTTTCCCTGACCACTTTTCACTGACAGGTCTTATTTTATACCCTATTTGTTGAAAAGTGCTTCATAATGTTTATTTACATTACATTTTATTTATTTATTTTTTATTTATAAGGCAATGGCAAGACAAAAATTGTGTTTCTCAACTGAACTTATACGTATGTGGAATATGTAATTAAAAAAAATAGCTAGCTCATATTAAAATACAGTAGATTATAATGTTGTTAATGGAATATTTGTATAATTTAATCACAGGCTGATATTAAAATGTTTGAATCTTAATCCAGTCATATCAGTTAGTGCCTTAATGCTTAAACTTCAACAGACCTTGCCAACAGTTTTGGGGAGTAACTAGTTACATGTAACAGAGTTATGTAATTCAATTACAATGTAATTGTAATCAGTTACAGTTACAGAGAAAAAAATGTGTAATTAAATTACAGTTACTTATGAAAATGTTAACGATTACAAAGGGGGTTACATGTGAATTTTATTCACACACACACACACATACAGATTTCATTAACTGCAGTGACTGCTCTAAAATATGAGACAATGTCTCAGGAATTTAGTTCAGAGAATAGGACACATGCTTATTCTATAACTTTTATTTAATTTTGGGTTTATGTATATGCTTTATTTTTTAAGATGAACCATTTTATTTTTCCAAGACATTGTTAGATGCAATGTTTCCATATGCAAAGATTTGATTTCAAAAACAGTATCATAGTCAACAGTATCATAAAATCACAGTATCATCTGTATTTAACCTCAGAATGATCTCAGTCTGATTTTGTGGCGGCGGTGATTTAAAATTAAATTATTAGAATCTTAATTCAAGTGATGAAGGATTTTGAAAGTCTGACAGTAATTACAACTCCAATTCCAGAAAAGTTGGGACATTTTGTGAAATGCCATACAATCAAGAATATGTTGTTTGTTGAGTCTCTTTAACCTTTATTTAACTGACTAAAGTACAAATAAAAAAAATCCAACTTAATTTTATTTTGTAAATATAAGCAAATTTTTAATGTGATGGCTGCAACACACTCCAAAAAAAGAAGAAGAAAAAAAAGTTGGGGCAGAGGCATGTTTACCATTGTGGCACATCAACCTTCCTTTTAATTACAGTGTTTATTTGTATACAAATATTTAAAGTTTTGCAAGCAACATTTTTGTCCAGTCTCGCTTGATACAAGACTTCAGATGCTCAGCAGTCTGTGATCATTGTTGCCTGATTCTTCTTTTAATGACTGGTCATACATTTTCAATAGGAGACAGATCTGGACTGCAGGCAGGCCAGTCTAGCACATTCCCTCTGTGTCCATGAAACCACGCTGTTGTAGCACATGAAGAATCTTGATCTAATAACCATGGACTTCCCATGAAAGACTTCATCTTGTTAGCAGTATATGTCTCTGTACAATCCCAATATATGCCTCCATGCCAGTGGTACCTTAGCACATATTCCAGTCACCCATGCCGTTTGCTCTACTGCACCACCATACCATGACAGACGTTTGCCTTTGCATCTGTCGCTCGTGAAATTCTGGATGGTCCCTTTGGTTTTTGGGACTGAGAACTTGACGTCCATTTTTCCTAGAAACAAGTTGAAATGTGGACTCGACTCATCTGACCACAGCACACATTTCCACTGTCTTTTTGACTATCTGAGATTAGCTCTGGCCCAGAGAACCCTGCGGCATCACTGCATAGAATTGATGTATAGCTTTCTCTTAGAGTAACAGAGATTCAAGTTGCATTTATTGATGCAGCGGCAGACTTTGTTAAGTGACAGCGGTTTTCCGAAGTACTCCTGAACCCATGTGGCTATATTTAACAGCGCAGCATGATGGCTCACACACATTCAACTGAGGTTTCCTGCCTTGCCCAACACAGACTGAGATTTCTTTGGATTCCCTGAATCTTTTCACAATATGTATGGTAGTTGGTGATTTTGCATTGAGAAATTGAATTTTTGATTTGTTTGACACTTCTCATCAAATGTGACACAAAGTGATGAGCCATAATCCAGCTTTGCTTGCAAAGACTGAGATGCTCCTTTTATACCCAAACATGATACCCTCATTTTGTAAAATCTTTAGGTGTATTTTATGGTCTCCGAGTGCAAAAGGTGGAGATGCCAAGTGTTTCCTAATACATACCTCATATCACTGGGTTTTGTTCTGTTTTTGCTTTGGATCCATAACATCACTGTTTGTGATGCAGATGTTGACCTCAGCAAGTACTGACCTCAACGGAGAAGCATGGATTTACCTTTAAAAGAGTGGACGCCGCTAGACTGCTAAATGACCTTTTATTGCTCAGTGACCTTCTGAGTGACAATAATGAACACACTGTTGAATTGTATTTCTAAGTGGCTCTCTGTATAGAGTGATAAGGGAGATTGGGGAGCTTAACCACCAACCCAGTGATGCGGTTTCCCTCCAGTGTTATAATCCTTTTAAATATACTGAGCTCTTCCAAGTGCTCTTGAATCATAATTGAACCCAGGGTAACTAAGAGAAATGTCCATGTATTTGCATGTGCTTTATGTATAAGCTATCCATGTATCACTCTGGTCAATGAACAAATACAGTACTGTATGTCTCAAAAGGTTGCAACAATTTGTTGGACTTGAGAGCTGACTGGAGATTTACTCCTCAGGAAAGTGAGAGATCCCACCACAACAACTGGGCAGAGTGAAGACGTTTGACAAGTTTTATGTTTCTCATGCCATCTAAAGAAACTGAAATTAATCTTGCCTCATGTAGAATAAGTCCTGCATTTATCTGATCAAAATACAGTGCAAACAGAAATATTGTGATATATGATTGATTAGAATTTAAAATATTTTTGTTTCTGTGATGGCAAAACTGAATTTTCAGCAGCCTTTACTCCCTTCTTCAGTGTCACATGATCCTTCAGTAATCATTCTAATATGTTGATTTGGTGCTCAAGAAACGTTTCTTATTAATATCAATGTTGAAAACAACCAAAGTTGTGCTGTTTCATATTTTTGTGGAAACCGATCATTTTTTTTCCAGGATTCCTTGTTGAATAGAAACATTCAAAATAACAGCATTTATTTGAAACATTATAAATGCTTTGACTCTTACTTTTGTTCGATTTATTACATCCTTGCAGAATAAAAGTGTTAGTTTCTATATACACTGAACAAAATTATAAACGCAACTTTTTGTTTTTGCCCCCATTTTTCATGAGCTGAACTCAAAGATCTAAGACTTTTTCTATGTACACAAAAGGCCTATTTCTCTCAAATATTGTTCACAAATCTGTCTAAATCTGTGTTAGTGAGCACTTCTCCTTTGCCGAGTGGCCTTGTGCCTTAGGCTGGCCACAATAAAAGGCCACTCTAAAATGTGCAGTTTTACTGTATTGGGGGTCCGGGAGGGTCCGAAAACTTGCGACATCTGTGGCATTGTGCTGTGTGATAAAACTGCACATTTTAGAGTGGCCTTTTATTGTGGCCAGCCTAAGGCACACCTGTGCAATAATCATGCTGTCTAATCAGCATCTTGATATGCCACACCTGTGAGGTGGATGGATTATCTCGGCAAAGGAGAAGTGCTCACTAACACAGATTTAGACAGATTTGTGAACAATATTTGAGAGAAATAGGCCTTTTGTGTACATAGAAAAAGTCTTAAATCTTTGAGTTCAGCTCATGAAAAATGGGGGCAAAAACAAAAGTGTTGCATTTATAATTTTGTTCAATGTATTATATATGACCTTTAAAAGGCTGCAAAAATACTAATAACAAATGTATAAATGGGCACTTGTTTATTTTTTTAGTTTCCCAATAACAATGTCTGAAATTGTAGATAAAGTATCTGGACTTCAGATAAATAAGCTATATTACCATCAGGTATTGAGTGACAGATCTTAACTCATGCTTGGCTAGACTATTGTACCTCAGTAGAATAATGATTATCACAATGTGACTTTGGCACTCATAATTCTTTCATAGAAATGATATAGCACTTCTAACCCACCTCATATGCTTAGTGTGCTTACATTTATTCAAACTGAATACTATATAAAATATTCATTCTGATTGTTATTTGTGCATCTATTTAATTAGTATTTTCAGTTAATTAACTGATTCATTTTTCCTGATTTGGTCCTTCTTACTGCCAAATTAAACACATCATGGCAAATAACGGTCGTCCAACCAGTAAAACTCCAGAAAGAATCAGCTGAGCTCATTTTAACAAGCAGATGGCAGTGTGAGCGGATTATATGTATTAAAGTAAGCCAAAAACAATGGTGTGAAAATCAGTGGCCTGTTCAAAATGGACAACCAATCCGTAATGTTTCTGTCATTTTAAGTGCCTATGTGCCGTCTATACAACAGCTCTGAAAACTATCCTTGTTTTGGTTCTTGTCGGTTTTATTCCATAGTATTTATTACTTTTTTTGTTTACAAATCTTTCAAGGCCACTGCAGATCTATAATCAAAATCATAAAATTACTATACCATCTGTAGGGAAATTAATGGGTAAATAAATACATGACAATAAAATCATATGGAATGATTAAAGTTACTGACACTGTTGCTGGTTGTACTTCATTTTATTTTATTATTTTATTTACTAACAATTAATAAGAAATATAAAGTGATTTTTTTATTCATAGCTGCTCTGCATGCTATAACCCTCAACCCATAACTTTAAAAATATGATTTTAAAACTGATTTTAAAGGATGTATATGACAACTAGGGAAATGCATACCATTGAAATTATGCTTTAAACCAACCAGGAAAAGTCACAAAGAATTTTGTCCCAGTAAGAAAAAAAAAGTTATGCTGAGGGTTTGAAATCTCATTTCGGCACAAAATATAGATTACAAATATCAATCATTGAAATCATTCATTTAAAAAAAATGTAAATGCATGTCTAATAACACAATGATTGTTCCAACAATGAGTGCTTCACAGTCAAAGTAAACTCTAACAGTACAGTAAAATTTCCAGTGGAACCCAGTTATTTATATTATAGTTTCACTAAGATAATTGAACGCTGTATGTAAGTTCATGTGATTAACACTTGCTAGCTCCAGCTGAATTTTTGGCATAATTTTCTGTAGTACAGAGAAATGTGTGCAATGTAATAACAATAATGACAAATAGTGTTTCCTAGCATTACAACCGATAGGTAATAGAACAATTCATACTTACACATCCATGTGCTTCCACATCTACGCATCACTTCCTTACCCACTCAACATAACTATGATCTTTGGTCCCTGTGATTGATGGCAAGTTTCTGGGACAGATTAATTGTGCAGATTAATGTATTGCACCGGTTTTTTTCAGAGGTAAACTTTTGACTTAGTTGTTATCCTTCAGGCTCGGTTAAGAGCTGAGAGAAAAGGCTGTAAGGCACCGTTTAGGGTTTCCTTCATTTGCACTTGGATGTTGAGGCACTTGGACTTTAGGGATTTGATCATAATTCATAAATACCCACACTCCTACATTCACACAGATGCAAACACACGTAAACACACACACTGGTAATTGCACTTTGGTGGTCAGTATTCTCCTCTTCAACTTCGATTAGTTCACATTTCCTGGGAGGAGTTACTCGACGGTCACAGATTTGGCCAGGTTTCTTGGGTAGTCCACCTGATGAGAATCAAACAAATGATGATGTGTAATAAAAATGAACATTAAAGATTCTGCAAAAAGCTAATCTGTTTTGTATTGATTGTTTTGCCTACAGTAGTTTATTTTAAATGGTACTGCAAAGTGCCAAATGAAAAAAATAAATATATATATATATATATATATATATATATA